TGTTTTATAGCTGGCCCAAGTTCCAAGTCCTGAGTCTGTTAAACGCTGTCCAGAGTGTTTTTTGTTGGCCATTCAGTTCTGGCCTCCATTACTAGTTTTGTCAAGTCTGTTTTTGATGGCTAAGAGGAAACCTATTATCAAACCCTGTATGTATTTACTGAAAAGATATCTAACACCTTTTTTTTGTTTCTTTTTTCTTGGTTTCACCGCACTGCAGCACACTGCCATTACCATTCATTGTGAATGTTGTAAAACATCCTCCAGGCTCTTTTTCTCTCTCCTGACCCAGGTTTAGTACCTGCTTTGTCATCTCCATTCATTCTGCATCAATATCATGCCTTCATTTTGAAGCTTAAATTTTCTCCATGCTTACTTTTAACTAAAACTTAATCTGAATCTATTATAAGTAAAATAATCATCAGGATTTAAATTTAATAACCAACTAAACACAGCTCTTTATCACTGTAACCCATGCTGCCTACACAAAGTATTCATAAAAGCACCACAACACTCATTAGGAAGATTGTCCAAAGGGAAACAGTCTTTGGACATCGACTAAATCAGTGACGATGTGCTTGTGTTCTGACATTAGAAATGGTAAATGTGCCCAAGGTTTATATTGCAATACAACAATAATATGTGATATGACAGTTAGAGTGAAGTGTATTTCTACCCAAACAACAGAACTGTGTTTCATAGTAAAATATTTTACAGTGCTTCAGTGTTTAAATTTAAATTAAAACAAATTATGAAATAAAAGTTCAGTTTCCCAGGTATAGCTATATTTCAAATGCTCAATAACCATATATGGCCAGTGTCTACCATACTGGATAATGCAATTTCTAGAAAATATTCAAATATTTGGAAATTAAACACATTCTCCTTAATAACCCGTGAGTTATAAAAGATATCACAAAGAACATGCAAAACATCATAAACAGTGATAGTGAAAAGAGAACACACAAAAAATTATGAGATGCAAATAAACATGTAGAGGGAAGTTTTATAACTTTCTACCTTCGTGTTAGAAAACAAGAACTTTTAATAGTTCACAGGATATTGTCCATAGCATGTTGTAGAGCCTTGGGATATTATTAAGCTCTTCTGAAGAGTACTGGGTTTGCTTCAGCAGGCACTTAAATGACTGGTCGATGCCTTTGAACTTAACTTGGGGAGGCTTAATGTCGTTACCAAGGGGCTGTTCCAATTTTGCTCTTTCAGGACAAGTCCCTCAGCCCTGAGGTGATCTTTACTCCCACTAGTATTTCAGTGGATTACTTGGTGGACTAGAATCTAAAATTCTGTCTGTGCTGCTGAGGGCAACTGCTGAAATCTCTGACCAGCTTGTTCATCCTTCCAAAACGTTTCCCCTGGACCCTTTAGAGACTGTAATTCCTGGGTCATCCAAAGACTTGAAGGGAGTTTTTATGCAGAATTTCTCATGCTCCCACCCATGCCCCTCTGTGGGAGTTCTCCATCAATATCTACCCTCTCTGGCTGCCCCCAAACTCCATCCTCTTACACTCAGGTCCCTGTGAATTTCTGCTTGAGGGACCTCCCTGGATCAGCAGGATGGGGACATGTGCTCGGGGGAACCACGAACATGTGACGGCCACATGGTCCTGAGTGAGGCGTCAGGTTCTCCTTCTACAGCCTCTCCTTGTCCTCAGTCACCTTGCAGTGTCTTCCAACACTTGTTTAAAAACTCTCATGATTTTGAATTTTCTACAGAGTGTATGAAAGTTATTACAGGAGAATTCAGAGCTAGGAAACTTCCCTGAGATTTTTAGCCACTGCTTTGACCCACCAAGGAGGAAGCAGACCATGGACTCACTGATCACTTTGGATTCTCCAGATCTCTCTCTTTCGTGCTTTGCTCCAGTGTAGGGATTTTTTTTGAGAATAATGAATTCCCAAGGTCACTATTTTCATAACTTTGGCCAAGACAACCCCCTCTCCTTCCCCTACCCATGACGTCATCCACAGCACTGCTTTCTTTCTGGTACACAGACCATGGGGTTTCCAGGATAAACCAACAATGCCTGCCCTGTTCTCTGATGCTCAGGGAGTGATGGTGTGAAGCAACAACTCCCCCTCCTTCTGAAATGTCGTGGGAGGGATTTTCCTTGACTTTTAGTAACAAAGGAAAGAAAACTCCATATTCCATATAATTTTAAGCAATTCCTTTAGAATTTTTAATGAATGACATGTTTTGAGTGACTTGCCATTTGCCGTTTAGTGACTTGATGTTTGTGAGTGACAGTGCCTGTCATTTGGCAATACTTGTATTTTCTAGGATGAGATCAATTAAGCCAACAGGGTTAAAACAAAAGTACCTAAGTTAAAGATATTTATCTTCTTATCTTAAAGGAAATGTGGATGATTTTAGCTGTTAATTCAGTGGCTATGAAGCAATGGGTCTATTCACTTAGAAACAAAATGACCTTATTTCACTTATCCTGAAGGAATTCCAGATTCTCCCAGTTTTTTTTGTTTTTTTTTTTTTTTATGTTTCAGATTTTAATGTGACTTTAAATTTGTTCTTTTCACATTGTGTAAGTTTAAGGTGTGCTGAGTGTTACTTGGGTAGACTGGTGTATCATAGTTGGTTGTCATTTTAACAATCTTTAGCACATCACATACTTATACTACAATATTATTGCTTACATTCAATCTACTGTACTTTAGACCTCTATGGCTTTTTAGTGCTTGTGACAAGTTTGTGCCTAAAACACCACCAATCTTATCCCCTGTGCCTCCACTTCTTGGTAACCACCATTCTCTTCCTTTTTTTAAACAGGTTTGACTTTTTAGATTCCACATATTACACAGTACTTGACCTTCTCTGTCTGACTTACCTTGCTTCCAATTCTCCCAAATTCAATACATAGACATAAGACAATTCCAACTGGAATAACAACAATGTTCTTTTTAGAAAACTCAACGATTTTAATTTTTACACAGAAGAATACATGCCTGAAGATAACAAAGAAATACAAAAATGTTGACTGGGGAGGAAATTGGGGGTGGGGGAGAGAGTTCACATTACAATCAAAGCCACAAAAATCAAATCAATACTTTATTCATATAGGCATTGAGAAGATGGAAGACAAGAAGAGGCAAAAATTCTCACAGAAATCATATGGAATATGAAAATTTAACATATGATAACTACTATGTTTCAGTTCAGCAGGAGATGGATCACCTACTTAGTAAATAGTCTGGCACAAAGGCTATCTTAAGCATACTCCGATGTGTCTCTGTTCTGACTCGAGACCCTTGTAGCTAAAGACCTGCTCCAGCTTTCTCAGGGTCCTCTGGGTGAGGACGAGATGACACCCCAAGTTGCAGGACTCTCCCAGGCCTGCAGGCTGCTCCCGAGGACGTTCACCTGGTCTCCTACTTCTTTCTTTGCAGCTTCCCTTTCTTCCTTCCTCCCTCCATTCTACACCCCCAAACACCTGGCTGGGGAACCCGCATAAACGCCCAGACGCTGCTGGCTTTCTCCCCTCTCTCAGGGGAGAAGGGACTGGTTGCAGGTCAGGCACAGGCGGGGCTGTAAGTCTCCTCTCTGCTCTCCATGCGGGAGGGTGGGCATCAGAGGGGCCGATGCCAGGTGTGTGACCTCCCTTGTCCAGGCCTCCCTGGGAAGAGCTCCTCCGCTGCCCAAGTCCGCTTGGACCTCCGGGCGGTCCGTGTCCTGCAGCCAGGTCTAGGCCCGTTTCCTGAGCAGACCTGGCCCCTGGACACCCCTGCCCTGCCCCGCTCCTTCCCATGGGGCTCCCTTGCTGCGGGTGGTGGCCATTCTCAAGAGCGAATCAAGAGCAGCTCCTTGCAGCCCTCCCCCGTTTCTAGTTGCCTTCTCCTCCCCAGCCCAGAGCCTGTCCTGCCCCACATGGCGCTGGGCCCTAAAAGCCATCGTGCCTGCCCTCTTAACGGGCAAGGACACAGCCCAAGAGACGCAGAGTTGCCCGGTCCACATTCCACGCTGATCTGCATCGAGTTATAAGCCGAGCCTCCAGTGGCCGGGATGCTGCAGGGCTTCCACCTCAGAAGGGAGCACAGGCCCGCCTCAGGAGGCTTGGCTTCTCTCAGAGGTCTGTTGCAGAGAGGGAATGCCAGAGACACGTGAGGATGGGCGGGGGGCGCAGAGCAGGAGGGCCCCTGTGTTCTGGACGGTGTGATGAAGGACCAGAGAACTCAGGAGCCCACCCACCTCCTCCCGCCTAAACAGATGGTGCCCTGGAGTCAGGAGAGGCCAGGGACTCCTGGGATGGAGCAGGCAAGGGAGGGGTCTGGGAGCCGGAGGCAGGAAGCCGCGGAGGCGTGTGCCTCAGATGGGCGCGCTCGGCGGGAGCTGGCCGCCAGCTTGCTCGGGCTCCTTCAGGATGCGGCGCAGGCCCCGCAGCCAGGCCTGGTCCCCGCGCCCCTCCTCAGAAACGGGCGGCCAGAGGCCCCAGCTCTCACGGGGCGCGGCGCGGGGGTGAGGGGCAGCCGGGAGGCTGTAGGCGCGGCCCTCGTGCTCCCACAGGACCCCTTCGACGTGCCACATGAGCTCCCTCAGCTGGACCTCCAGCTCGGCTCCGTCCCCCTTGTTGTTGAAGCCACAGTGTCGCCGTGCGCAGACCGCGTCCAGCTCGGCCAGCACTCGGTTGTCGGTCTCCCGCAGGAATGTCCCCAGCAAGCCGCCGTCCAGGTCTTCGTTCCGCGTGAACACCAGGACGGTGCGGGCCAGGATGCCCGCCCCGAACACCTCCTCGAGGCGGCTGGCCACCTGCTGGTCCTCCTCGGTGAACCGGCCGAGCTGTGTCACCAGAAGCACCGCGTGCGGCTCCGGCGGGGAGCGGGCGCTGGCCTTGCCAACGCCCTGAGGGGTCCCCCGCGGGGCCTCCCAGCGGGACAGGATGTCGGGTGTGTCGATGACCTGCAGCTCCCTCCCCTCCCACGCGCGGCGCCCCTGCTGGAAGGTCTGGGTCACCGGGCGAGTGCTGAGCTTGGACTCGAACACTCTCCTCCCGAGGATGCTGTTTCCCGTGGCGCTTTTCCCGCTCCCGGATTTTCCCACCAGGATGAGCCTCAGCGTCTGCGGGGTCCCTTCATCCCCGCTCTGCCCTGGAAGCATCAAGAGAAGGTGGGGGGCCGCGGTTAGAGCCCGACCCCCGCTTTAGCCTCCCCTGGGGGCAGATGGTCCGGGTGGGGGCAGGACAAAGGAAGACCAGCGTCTGCATCTGAGATATGCCCTAGGTTCATATGCTTTCCTTCCTTTTCTCCTTTTTTAACTTTTGGGGAAAACATTAAGGTAGAAAATACATAACATAAATGTACTGTTTGAACCATGTTTAGGTGTAGCCTTCAGTACATTCACATTCCTGGGCAGTCATCACTTGGGCATCTCAAGAACTTTCCATCTTCCTGAATGACACCCTGTCCCCATTAAACACTAACGCCCCATCCTTCCTCCCCCAACACCTGACATCCATTGCTCTTTCTGTCTCCATGTGTTTGACTCTTCTAACGACCTCACATTACTGGATCAGGCAATTTTTGCCCTACTGTGTCTGGCTTTGCATAATGTGTTCAAGGTTCATTCATGTTGGAGCAAGTGTCAGAATTGCCTTCCTTTTTAAGGCTGAATAATATTCCACTGTAGGTGTAGGTGTATATATGAATCCATATTCATATATATATGGAGTTGGGGGGTTGTTTCCACTTTTTGCTATTATGAATAATGCTGCTGTGCACCTCAGTGCACATATATTCACTATCTGTTTCAACTCTATGGGGTATATTCCCCAGTAGTGGAATTGTGGGATCACATGGCAGAACGCCACATTTTATGCTTCTGTTCTGAAACTTCTTCTAGGGCCACCTATTCACACCAGGTGGGATCATCTCCTCATGAACTGGGAGCCTGAGCTTCCTCGAGTCCCTCTGGTTGAAGACCCTTCCCAGGAAGAGGGTGAAGCTGGAAGCACACGGCCTCTGTGTCCATCCTCTCCCTGCCGTGATCGAACACGCCACATTACCTTCACTTTGCCCAACAAGGAGTGTTGTGAGGGTGGGGTCCTTTCAGCCAGACCCCCAGCTCCACAGCACAGCTCACACTGGGTCCCAGTCCTAAGCTCCACCGTTGAAGTTTGGGCTGGACACCCTCACCCAGGAGAATATCAGAACCATCAGCTGTGAGTAGATGTTTCATGTCCATCTAATACTGAGGACCTCACCTCCAGATTTTAGAAATGACTACGGCTGGAGGGCACAAAGGGAATTCCCTTCTCCTGGCCTTGCAAGTCCCAGGACCCAAAGCACATAGAGAAGCACCAAACCCTAGCTGATTTCCAGCCTGTTCCCAGGGAAGACATTGGTTTGTCTCAGTGCAGAGCCCTCAGCCTCTTGAGGCCAGGACTGACACCATCTTCTTCCATCTCTCCCCAGCAGGGCTGTGTTTCTCCTGCCTTTCTGCCTTGGTGGGCTGACCCACCCACCAACTCTGACTGGAAGATACCGCCTCCCTCCAGCTTCTGCAGGTGACCTGGGAATGACTGGGAGTTCCCCAGAAGCAGGGAAGGGCAGTGTCCATCTGTACTCAAATGCAAAGCTGGAGGAAGACAGTGGTTTCCCATCTGGGCAAGCCTGGGGACACTCATGCCACACCTTTGGACTTAAAAGCCAAATACATTGAGCATGGAAGAGGAATTTTAAAGTAATACTTAACCCTGATTGCTGCAAAAAGGGTAAATCAGGTGTGAACACTGGGATTATCGCTTTCCTATGCAGCTTAATATTATGGCTTTCTCCCAATGGTTCAGGCCACTGAAGTTTTTCAAATAAAAACATCGGTGCATGTAACTGCATAATAAATTACCAACCAATTCCTTTATCCAGGAAAGTGACGGATTTCCAGCATTCCTAAATTCCTAAGTTCTGTCTCCCCAGGTTAGATGGAAAGTTGAGCCCATGAAAGCGAAGCCCCTGACCCTGATGAAATAGCTTTTGTGGGGAGGGAGCCCCCTGGGAAGGCAGAGCCCAGACCTGCGGGCCCTTGACTGCATCCTATGTCTTCACTAGCGCTTTGCAGCCCCTGTGGTCCTGAGAGTCTCACAGCAGAGCCAGGGCGACACCCACCGGGGGCCTGGGGCGAGCCGTCTGTCGCACCCACGAACACATCCTTCCTGCCACTCAGTGAAGGGGCAGTGGCTGTGGTCTGTCGCCTGCTTTGAGCCATGGCACCATCAGGGGCCCTTCACTTCTGTCTGGCTGGGGTGAAGGGAGGCCCAACCCAAATGCCCCATGATGGCCACCCCAGTGGGCGAGTCTCTGACCGGGGGGACTCCCGCTGCCCCTCCCAGCACACCTCCTGCCCCTCAGGCCCCGGCCCCACCTCTCTCAAGTCCATGTTGGCTAGAAAGTTGTTTTACCTCCAGACCCCCCTGGAGAAGGATCCTGGGATGCGCCTTCTTCAGATTCCTCCGGGAGAAGGATTTCGAACTCTTCTTCCTCCATCTAGAAAGAAACCATAATGTGTCTACTGTTGTTTCCTCTGAGCTTACAGGGGCTCCTGACTTTTGCCTTTCTCTAACCCATGGAAGCTGTTTGCTTTGGTTTGTTGGCATGGGATGTGGTGAGGGGGCGTCTGAGATACCCGCTACCTCCTTTAGGGACCCTGATTCCCCCTTCTTTCCCCTGCACGTGGTCTCTACTTGGGGTGGGGGGGATTCTGTGATGGGCAGAAATGACCAGAGACGCGTCCTGACAGACACTGTCCTGGGAGCAATGGCCAGGGTGCAGGGTGGATGTGAGCAGGACGTTGCTGGAGGGTTTGGTGAGGGGCTCGTGGGGCCAGAACGATCTGTGGGGGGAGCCTGGCAGTGGGGGCCGCAGAGGCTGAGTGCTGGGGGGTGAGGAGGGCAGCAGACACACAGAGGCTCCCTCTCCACGTGGGGTCCAGTCCTGCCGGGAGCCCTGGGTCCTTGGCACTCAGCTCCAGGCCACCGACTCTGGTGGTCACGCTGCTGGGGCCTCCGTGTCCCCAGAGATGTGGATGCTGAGTCCAAACTACACATTCCTGAGATCTTGTCCCCCTGGAAGATTCCAGGGACATTTTACTACGTTTTCTAGAGCAATTCCCAGTCCTCTTTGCCAAGGAGGGCATTGTCACCCACCAGGAACTCCTGTCATCCACTCTCAAGCCCAGAGAGCTGACTGCCCAGCCCCCGGCCACCTCACCCCAGACCCTGCCCGACAGGGCATCACTGTCACGTGTGCCATGCGCCACAGTGTTTGTCTCAACATGGAGCAGATCTGTCTCTTTGTGAGGTTTCCCAGGAGAAAAGTGAGACTCAGAGCGTCCTGCCCGAGGGTAAGCAGGGAGCTCCAGGCAGAGCCCAAAGGCTGCAAGGTCCCCCTGACTCCCCTGGCTCCTCCCATTGCTCCTGAAACAGGGGCACTCACAGACACTCTCACACATACACTCACACACACACACACTCACAAACATGCAAACATACAAACAAAATATAGACACAAACACAACATGTACACAAACACACACACAAACATACAAACAAAATATACACACAAACACAACACATACACAACTCACACACACTCAGAAACATACAAAATATACACACAATCACAACTCATACATAACTCACACACATACACATACAAAAGTACACACATAGCACACACATACAACACACATGAACACACATTTACTCACAAACATATGAACATACATACACAGCACACAAACACAAACATAAGACACAGAGACCACTCACACACGTATATTCACAACACAGACATACAAAGATACACACAACACACCACTCACACACACACACAAACACACATATAAATATACATACAAACATAACACACACGGAAAATACGCATGTATTCATCTATGCACAAATAGACACACACAACACACAGATACACACCAACACAACACACACGTATACATACAAACACATACACACAGAAACACACTGTGCACAGCACCCCCACAACACGCTCTCAAGCCCAGCACACACACACACACACACACACACAGACGCCCACACACAGGCACGCTCACCACGGCCTTGGACTCACCGCCCCGCCGTCCGTGGGGCGGGAGGAACGCCCGTGTCTGGCGTCTCTGGGGGCCGTGCGCTCGCCTGAACGCTCTGTGTCTCCTCTGAGTATAACACACCGCAGTCTGAATGGAGGACGTCAGTGACACTGCCCCACCGGACATGGCGGATGTGTTTTCAGTGATACGTGATCCGGGGCTCAGCTCAAGAACTGCCCTTGAGAGCGCAGCCTTCAGCCTTGAGAAGAGGGAAGAGGAAGTGGCGGAGCCCCCCAGCCAGGCCCCGAGAGGCAGAAAGCTCTGCGGGCTGCGCTTGTCTGCAGGCTTGGTGGCGACCCCCTCCAGTGTTCTCACCTGGAAAACCCCAGCACAGAGGAGCCCGCAGGCTGCAGTCCATGGGGTCACAGGTGTGGGACACGACTGAGTGACTTCACTGGTAACGTCAACAGGGGAAACAGGAACACGAGTGTTGTTATTACTTTTATCTTGCGTTAGGACAAGTGGAACTCAGAGGCTTAAACCAAAGCAGCAGATCTTTCAGAAAACGTGCTGCCAGCAGAGTGATTTTTTTTACTGATTTCCTCCCTTTCTGAGAATTCCCCTTCCTGCAGACATCCTCTGTCTTCTCCATCATGACCTAACTCTCTCCCTCTCCCAGCTCCTCCTTCAGCCACTCCATTGGCTCCAGGGTCGCCAGTTTGCTGACCCTAGATCCTGAGACTTGTCACCTCCATAATCCCATGAGCCACACTGGCCAATTCATTACAATTAGTGTCTCTCTATATTTGTGTATATCCACACACATTCCAATATCTGTGTCACATCAGAGTCTGGGTCTAAGCTTTGCTTTCTGTGCTTTCTCCTGCCTTTAGCACATCCTGCAGTGTTGTTGAAAGTCGGACATGATAATATCAGATGTGAGGAATTAAGGTGAATAGGCCTGTGGTGTGAGATTTTATGTTGACCTGGCTGGGAGTTGGGCTGTGTTTAATGTTTGCTGGAGCTTCATTCTCCTCTGGTGCCCTTGTTTGTCTCCCCAGTTGTCTGTGGGTTTCCCTAAAGCCCCTTCTTAAATAGAACTTGTATCTTGCTCTTCACTCCTCTTTATTCACTGTTTTCATCCAGTGTCCTATGATGTGGGAAGGAGTGAGGAGGGAAGCATTACTTAGGGATTGAATCTTACTGTCTCAGTGGGTCTGTGTTCCGGAGCTGTGGGCATCACAATTTTTCTTTCTTTTTTTTTACTTTTTATGCTTTTTCTGTCTCTTCTCCCCCTTTAGGTGATACTGGCCAAGTATTAGTCACTTCCAACTTTTTCCTCTTCATTTTCTCAGAGGATCTTTCTTTTATTTGATGCTTGGACCTCGAAGAACTTTTTCAGTTACTTGAATGCCACATTCCCATCTTTATTCTCTGCAACTGCTATAAAGAGCTGAAACCAAAAGATTTTTCAAGGAGTGTACTCTGTTAATAAAAAGATTTCAGTAAATATTTTGAAGGTTTAAGGATGTATGGAGGATTCAAATGTTCACTATTAACACTATTTTAAATTTTTTTTCTAGAGGAAATAAATACTGTAGACAATATTTCTTCTAGACAAAGAGACTGCATGTATAAAATGTAAAGGTGGATGTGAAATTATCATTATTTGTAGACTCTTTGTTTATAAATCTGGGAAAAATTAACAGAGTAAGCTGATAAACTATTATGAACAATAGGAGAATTTAGTAAACTGATGGATGCAAAATTAAATAAAAATCATAAAAATTGCCTACCATACAAACAACTGTCAGTTAGGTATAACTTGTGATATTTAAAGCAACGACGACAATAAAAATGAAGAAAATAAAAAGTCTAAGAATAAACTTTAAAATTGCATAAAAATCTAATGAAGAAAACTCTGAGAAACTTCTGAGGATGTGAAGCAAACAGAACTCTCCCATGCTTAGTGAAAGTGTGTATTAGTAGAACCACTTTGGAAAATGCTCTGTGGTATCTCAGAAACCTGAATATTACACATGGTCAACCTTCCCCATTCTACCCCAAGGTGCAAAGCAACAGAAATGTGTGCTTGCCAACAAAAGGTAATTCCCACGATATTTATAGCAGGATACCCAGGATAGCAAACCACTGGACATAGTGTCAATCCTCTCACCACAAAAACAGAAAGAAAGAGAAATGGTAACTATGTGAGGTGATAGACATGTTAATTGGCTTGATTGTGGTGACTGTTTCACAAACTATGTATCAAATCATCAAGTTGCATGTACCTTAAACATATATAATTATAATTTGTCATTTATACCCCCAATAAAGCTGGCTGAAAGCTAAAATATTTAAAAAAAATTTTTTAACTGATATCATGGCGTCCAGCTGCATTACTTCAAGGCAAATAGAAGGGGAAAAAGTGGAAGTAGTAACAGATTTCCTCTTTTTGGGCTCTAAAATCACTGCTGATGGTGACTGCAGCCGTGAAATCAGAAGACCATTGCTTCTTGGCAGGAAAGCTATGACAAACCCAGAGAGTGTGTTGAAAAGCAGAGACATTACTCTGCCGACAAAAGTCCATATAGTCTGGGCTATGCTCTTCCCAGTGGTCATGTACCAGTATGAAAGCTGGACCGTAAAGAAGGCAGAGTGCCAAAGCATTGATGCCTTCGAACTGTGGTGCTGGAGAAGACTCCTGAAAGTCCCTTAGACAGCAAGGAACTCAAACAAATCAATCAACCCTGAATACTCACTCATTGAAAGGACTGATGCTGAAGCTGAAGCTGAAGCTCCAATATTTTGGTCATCTGATGCAAACATCAGACTCATTAAAAAATTGCCTGATACTGGGAAAGATTGAGGGCAGGAGGAGAAGAGAGTGTCAGAGGATGAGATGGCTTGATGGGGTCACTGATGCAATGGACATGAACTTGGGTAAACCTGGGAGATGGTGAGGGACAGGGAGGCCTAGCAGGCTACAGTTCACAGGGTTGTAAAGTGTTGTACATGACTAGGTGACTGAACAACAACAAGGCCAGGAGAATAAAGCAGCTGATCCAAATTAATGGGGTTATCTAAATTATAACTTTATATTATAAATTATTGGGCTTCCCCAGTGGCTCAGTAGTAAGCCAATGGTGGAGACACAAGAAATGCAGGCTCAATACCTGGGTTGGCAAGATCCCCTGGAGAAGGAAATGGCAACCCACTCCAGTATTCTTGCCTGGAGAATCCCATGGACAGAGGAGCCTTGCAGACTACAATCCACAGGGTCGCAAAGAGTTGGATACGACTGAGAACACACACATTATAAATTATATATAGTGGGTTTTATTCATACAGTGGAATAGTACATAGCAATGAAACTGAACGATTTATTGCTACATATAACAACATGTGTGCATCTCAAAACATAATGGTAAGGGAAAAAAAA